TTAGTTAGTCTTTGAGAGCTCATTAGTGGTTTAGCCTTTGTGTGAACCTAGAGATCATAGCAACTAGAATTGTTGATATAGGTGGCTTGCAACCCTTGTAGAGCTAGAGCAAACTTGTATTTCGCCATTTAGGTTACTAACCACTTTCTCTAGTGTATTTGTAGAGAATTTTTATAGACTATTCACCCCTCTAGCCATTTAGGACCTTTCACCCGCCTGATCATAAGCAACAACGGCCATGGAAGCTCTGGGCAAATTAGAACTTGCTCTAGTTTCATGTTATGCCTTTGTTTTTAATTTCAGTAATGGGCCTCACATCAACTGTGCTGTGCTCGTTGACCACTCCTCCCTCAGGTGTGTCTCTACCATAGATTCTCACGACGTCTTCGTGGGCTATGTCTCTACCTCACCCCCCCGAAAGTAGTGTTGCTCACGAAGATATATAATAATGCTAGCTAATAACATTATTTTTATTTCACAACGAGTAACATTGTTGTTGTGGAGGGGATGGTTTATGTGGCCCAAGGAATCCCACAAACATGGGCCGGCACTGCAGCCCACACTCCATATGGCCAGGTATCCTGTACTTATTATTTTTTATTTATGGGGGAGAACGTCCCCAACCTGTCATGGATTTCCCGTTAAGCTCCGTCAAGGCTGCAGCTTCCTGATTCGTAGTCTAGCAGTTTTGATTCCTAGTTGGTTTGCTTGTAATTAATGAGCAAAGCTCGTATATACCTCCTCGCATTGCCACGATAAAACAACAACAACAACAAAATAGTTTGCCAACCCACAACCACAACACGATTCCCAATATAGGAAACTAAATCGGTGGCCAACGGTCTATCCAATGATGTCTGTCGTGTTGATCACGTTGTCGTTACTGACGCCGATGCCGGCGCCGAGCCTCGGTGCCGGAACATCAGCAGCGGTTGCGGCGCTGAGGGCGAGCTTGTTGCAGCGCCCATCATATATCGTCTGCCGGGACGATGCCGATGCCGCACCAGGTGGTGGACGGGATAAAGGCGGCCGAGGTGGCCACATGGGACACTGAAAGGCGCGAGCGCGAGGTGGCAGCCGAGCTCCACGCCATAGCGAGGATCGGCGAGACGCAGTGCGCTAAGCTGCGGGAGCTGGAGTTGGAGCTCAAGGACAAGGATGGGCGCATCAAGATGCTGGCAGCCATCGCCGACACCATCCTGACCAAGAGGAAGTGAGATCCAAAGGCACATACGGCATCTGCATGCTTTATTTCCGGGGTCATCCTTGCATGCATGTGTTCCCCTCATTATTATGGCCTTTAGGTTCTTTACTTAATAAACAATGTAATAAACCATTAAATAATTATTGAACTATTGAATATTAAGTGTTGAACACAACAATATGTTGATCAATATGATGAATGCTAAGTAACATTTTGGAACTGATGGTTCTGAACAAGAGAGAAAGGGGGGAGAAGAGAGTTCAGCGGTAGAGAGGGAACACACTAGGGTTTTGAACAAGTCAAAATGAGTGAGAGGTGAGGTCCCTTGCCCCCATGCCCTTGGGCACTTATATAGGCAATGACTATTTGTAAGTGGTCCCCTTGATGGGATTGGATTTTACATCACACTACTCTAGATACTAGTTGAGCCTCTTCTAGGGGAAGATTTAGCCCATATACCTCTTGGGATCCCTAAAAGTAACCCCTCAACTATTAGATTATGGTTGGTACGATATGACCTAATAGATGCTCATACTAAAAGAGGCACAAATAGAACTCGAACCTTGGTTGCAAGGATCTCCTTTCGCAACCTATGTGTGTGTGCTTCACTAAAAACTTCATCCCAAAAACCCTATGGAAAAAGGCATAGAGAAAAGAGCACGCATACCAATCTAGTCTATACAAGTGCTAACTCAGAAGCTACTGACTCCAAGTGCCTCGATGTCGATCTCCCTGGTATCTTCATATTCAGGCTCCAGCTTCCTCGGGTACTTCTATGATATGGATTGTTAGCTATGCTCGACGCGTAGATCTTTTCCTTTGGGACCTTCTCCATGCGTAGATCATCATCTCCGAGACCTTCTCGATGTGTAGATCTTCGCCTCAAGGACCTTCTCATTGCGTAGATCTTCATCTCTAGGACCTTCTCGGCGTGCCGATCTTCACCTCTAGAACTTTCTTGTCTAAGGGTTCGCTTTGAGACACACCTTTTCTTCACAAATGGGTGTATTCGTCATAGTCAATGTAGTCGAGGTATAGCCACAGGTTGTCGTGATGCCTCCAAATCTTCTCTCATGAGTGTCGTCCAAAAGACTTCACCCTATGGAGTGTCAAGTCTTCTAGTATGCTCTCCTAGCTCCTCTTGCTTGCGCTTGACACTGAATCTTCAGTTGTGCTTGTTGTATTTGACGTAGTTGTAGTAGCCATAGTAGAGGAAGTACATGTCTGGACTAAAGTTGTCATGGGGAAATTAAGTCGTTGTTGCATGGATCACCAACTCTGCAGCTAACAAGTATTGCATTGGCTTGGGGAAAGGTAGATGAACCGATGTTGATGTTGAACACATACATATGCTTACTCTGAATCCACATACATCAGTCCACTTCTTTATCCTTGAGTCACAAAATAATGCCCCAATGTCACTGTGGATTCAAGATTAGAATGTTTAGTGTAAGTGCAATCAAGCCCTAATTGTGAGTTTTGGTGATAATGACCACACAATTAGAGGAATAATGAGTTAATCAAGATGACAAGCAGGTAAAATGAAAAAGGAGGATAATACATGTGTTGGTGGAACGCCATATTTACAAAAAGGACACGGTGATCGACTTAAAGGCGTTTAAATTCTTTTTATATTTCGAATTTGAGTTTAGAAAAAGCCGTACTATAAAGGGGGATACAATGCACAAGCTTCAATGTGCAACCATGTGCTCAAATACCCACCAAAAATATCCTCATGCCCTTAGCCAAGATAGCAAACACTTCATTCCTACTCTTTGGCTGTCTGGGTTGAGTGGCATTGCCGCGTGTGCAAGCGGCACTGTCGCGGGTCATGTGGCACTACCGCAACTTGACCTGACCGTTAGGTGTTTAGGAATATTTTACATCTCCCTTCCCACCCCCAACGGTCATCTCGACCATTCCACGCAAACAGCAAACCAGGGCACTTCTCTCTTCTTCATTGAAGGCTCCCAAGCTCCCAACCTTTCTACCCTTGATTCCCTTGCAAATCTTTGAGAGATTGAGCCTCCAAAACTCCATTAGAGAGCTGCTCAACCTGATCTTCAACTTCTAGAGCACGTGGTTCACGTTCTAAGTCGGTGGATTGTGTTTGTTACTCTTGTAGCTTTGCTCCTAGCTGGCTAGGCATCGCCCGAAAGCTTCCATCTCGTGTGTGGCAGCTCTGAAACGTTTGTAATCACCCAAGCATGTAGTGAGAACCTCTCAACCAAGAGACTTGATCTTTTGACTTGAGAAAGAGGATAGGGTTCTTGAAACCCAAGCCTTGGTGGCTTCCTCAACAACGTGGAGGTAGGCAAGCCTTTGTGGCGAGCTGAACCATGGGATAAATACCTTGTCTCCTGTGTTCTTGCTATTTGTGTTGCTCTCTACTTGTTTGTTGTTAATTTTATGGTTTGGTTCCGATCTACTTGTGCATAAGCTTCTGACTTGGTTCTAGTTGTGGAATAGGTTCAACGCTACCCTAGGAGCTCAATAATTTACTCGATCTAACTTTGCCAGGGCAGATTTTGAATTGTGAACTCGAGTGTGTCTTTGCACGCGGTAGTGCCGTGTGAGTGCCCAGCAGTGCTGCTTGAGTGGCAGTGCCGTGTAGGATCTGACAACAAGTTTTGAGTTTTGTTTAAACAAGCTTATTCACCCCCTCTCTAGGCTTAGCAGGGATCCTTACATTTAGTCATCGTGATAAAAGCCATACAACACCGGAAGACACATTGCTCCATTATTGTGCATTCTACAGCATTGATTAGTCATGGCAGTCGCCAAGTGCATGCTGGTGCATGTCAAGCTCCGCTCAACGGAAATCTTCCAATCCGACCAGGTGGCAGGAAGCCACGTGCCGACCATCCCTTCCCTCTCCTTTCCCATGTGACGCGGGCTCCCTCTCCGTCTCCCACATGACACGGCCTAGCCAACCCTCTCCCTCTTCCAGGCGACCCCGTGCCCCCCCCCCGCGCCACGCCCCGCTGGTGAGGAAGAAGAAGGCGGCGACTAGGGTTCCGACGTTTCCCCCTCTTCTTGTCCAACTCCGGTGGGCTTAGAAGGGAGTTCAGGGGAGGCAGTCTGGCTAGATGGTGAGAATGGCGGTCGGGTAGTTAGAGGCCATGGCGGCGGTGGAGGTGTCCAGGCCAGGTCGAGGTGGGGGCGTCGTGGTTGTGCTCGTTGGCGAGCATGGCCATGACGGCGGTGGAAGTGGGGGAGGAGAAACCCTAGCACTGCCGTGACGGGGGTGGCGGGCGGGGGCGGGGGTGACAAGGAGGAAGATGAACAACGCGACAGGGCGGGACGGTTGGTGGGCCAGCGGGGCAGGACAAGGCCCATCTTCAACGCTCACCAAAGCTAGCTAATGTGCGCGTGCACCATGAATTAAGAAGTGACTACCTATCATTCGACTGATTTATATTTGTGTCAGTCGATTTTTTTAAAACAATCAGAACAGGACACATGCACATGGAACAAATAATTACGAGATGATAAGGTACTACTTATCCTATTTCATCACTGTCTGCTACCCCCAATATTTGGACTTGAAAATTGCATATCATCTAATGAATCATGCTTACAAACTTGAAAAAAAAAACAAAATCAGATTTAAGATTCACCAAATTTCGGAAATCTCATGTACAAGACAAACCTATTATTTTGGGATCAAGTACAAACTCCTAATAAATCAAATGTACCACCATCAATCTGCAAGCAGTATTTTGGCTAGACCTCCTCCAGAATGGCATCCCCACCTGCAGTATCTCTAGGACGTGTGATTGGTATCCTTCTGCAACTAGATCTTCACCCCCACCCTTCTTTGACCTCTTGGATCATATCTGCCAGTTGATGTGTAGCCAGCAGGTTGTTTTTGTTGTCCCTCACCCTGTAGGTGTAGGCTTAGGCTCATCTTTGAAACACAGGTTGACACCGTCCGTGTATGAGTAGCCAGCAGCTGCCTACACATCGACATGGCCAGCTTTGGTAGCCATGAGCACTCTGCTGGTGACGGTAGGCTTCTTTTTGTTTCAGCCATGCTGCTAGCTCGAATGTGTATTGCAGCTTCTTTATCTTCGACGATGCTCTTGGGTAGCTTGCATATGGCTGTGTCCCTGATATCTAGAGTCTGGAGCTGCTTCAGGCTGCCCAGGGAGTCTGGTAGCCGGCTGACATCTCCACACCCTTGACAGAGGAATTTGAGGTGACGCCCTGATGCATCTTCCAAGTCCAGTACCCGGAGCAGCTCTATCTTTTCGGAGACGAAGAATGACCTCCACTCTCCGAACACTATCAAGGACCATAGCTTGGAGAAGTCGATGCTGGCAAACACATTCTCAAATATTAAAAACTGAAAGGCTCAATTACTATCCATTCAAACATTGACATGAAGCTAACGTACAGATAACCATCCACCAACAGGCTAAGCATCCATGAAGTTCAACATAAAAAGAGACTAATAGAAGAAATAAACAGCTATAACAAAAGACAAGTATGGAACAAATTATAAAGGTAGATTGTTGTATCATGAAAATGACATTGCACAGGAACGAAAACCACACTAAACTCAGCTAGCTACTACTACAAATTTTCTGAAACTCAATGAACCACTATAAATTGAGTAGCAAATAAATAGACCAATTATAAACTCAACGAACTGCATGCAGCTAGTTGTACTCAATGAAGAAAGCACTCAAGTTGCAGCTGCTTCTGAACAAACCAAGCCACAACTAGACAAGATAGAGACCTGAACTTCTGCTACATGAATAAAATAAAATTTAGTACCTTAATCACGATAAGACTGAGCTCACTGAAACTCTAATGCAGGATACTAACTGAACTGAACCTGAAATAGCAGGATACTAAACTTCTGAACTTAACATGTCCTATAATAAACAGAGTCGACAACTTTATGAAGCTATTAATACATACACCGAAATTTATAGATAACAAAAAATAGCAGCCCGTAGTTTTACAACAGAAGTAGACAAGCACTGCAATTTTCAGCTACCAGCCCATAGTTGTCTTCAGAAAATTCACGGCTGAAATTTCACAAAACTCAGAGATATAGTACTACTAACCATTCAAACATTGCTATGAAACTAACCTACAGCTACTCATCCACCAACGGATAGTACCTGAATCACGATGGGGCCGAATAACTTAACAATCAAACTCTTCTACATTACTGAACCTAGACTAAAACTGAAATAGATTCTAATGGACTGAACTGAACGCAGATTTATCATGATTTTAATGGACTGCACAGAACCTAGATTCTACAGGACTGAACCTAAACTAAAAATAGGTTCTAAACTTAAACCTGAAATTGAACTGAACTAAAACTGAAAATAGTTTCTACTAAACTGAACCTAGATTCAAAACTAAAAAATTAATCCTAGTAGTAAAGAAAACTAACTTATAACCCAACTGCTCAACCTATACACAACAACCAAAGATTGACAACCAGCAAAGCTTCCGGAAACACTGAATCAAGCAAAACTGCTAAACAAAAAAAATAAAAAAAAATAGCCACACTGAAAAATGACTGAGCAGCAGCTATCTATAGTTCTGAAAACGGATCACACCAAACAAGCTATTGTCGGATGGGTCACTGATGAAAAACTGTTGTTCGGTCCCTCCTAGCAGCAAGCACGAGCAAAGATAAAAAAAACAAGAAAATAGCTTGCTAAAGCTACTAAAAAAGAAACGAATAAGCAGAGATTTCAAGTCAAATTTGCCAACTAGTTGCTGCAACTACTGAATGGTGCATTATCCATGTATGAAAATTTAATCCACATTTTCAATTGTGAATTATTGCTGGTGTGTCACGGCCAGTGAAGCCTGCAACTTTCAACTGTAGTAGGAAGAAGGATAGGACAACAAAGAAAATTACTGCAGACTGAAATACAGAGCAAAATAGTGGAAACAAAAAATTCAAAGGAAACACAGTTGAAGACTGAATATCAGACTCTGAAACTTGAAACAATAATTCACACGTAACTGAAACAGATTATGTGCTACTAGCCAAACAAAAGCATGCAAGCAATAAATTAAATATTGAAGACTGAAAACTAAAAATAGATTCTAATGGGATGAACTGAACGCAAATTTAACATGGTCACTGAACCAAGATTCTACAAGACTGAACCTAAACTAAAAATAGGTTCCAGTAAAATTAACCTGAAATTGAATTGAACTAAAACTGAAAATAGTTTCTACTAAACTGAACCTGGATTCAGTACTGAATCACAAGATGACTGGAATACTCAGCAGCCAAACTCTATTGCAGTTCAATGAAAATCTAATGCTTAACAGCCAAACTCTATTGCAGTTCAACCTAGATTCTAAAATAACTGAACCTGAAGTAGAACTGATAATTAATTCTACTAGACTTTAACTAAAATTATAATGAAAATAGACTCTACTAAACTTAAACTGAACTTGAACAAAACTAAAACTAAAACTAAAAATAGATTCTACTACACTGAACAATAAACGAACCTGGATTCTACTGGAACTAAACTAAAACTAACACTGAAATTTGCCTTCTCCTTGCACACAGATTAGGGATCTGAGCATCAGATATTTTTTCATTATTCAGGGGAGAGAGAAGGCATGAGATAGTGTAGAAGTACCTTTAGAATCTGGTGAATCAAGACCAGATATCTGCAGAATCAAGTGACCCATTGATAGGTGACTGAAAAAATTGAAGAAAACGGTACTGCATATGGGGAAAACCATTCAGAAAAAAAAAATGAACGGAGGCAAAAGACCTGCACATAGGATTCGGGTAATGGGAAGAGTAACTGCACCGCGACAACAGCAGCACGAACGACCTCTCCCACTGGACGAGTTAGGGGAGGAGAACGAGCTCTACCACCAGAAGGTTTTGGGGAGGCGATGAATCAACATCGACCAAATAAAAAACACAGAAAATGAAAAAGGGAAGAGTACCTTGGCCGCGACAAAGTAACACGAACGAGCTCTCCGACCGGACGAATGGGGGAAGGCGATGAATCAACAGCGAGCACAGTACAGGGGTTTGGGTCTGGCCGGACGGCGGGCGTGGGGTTCAGGGTGAGCGAGCGGCGCAGGGGAGATGCGCTACAGCATAGGGCTCCAGCGGCTAACGGTAAGCAGCACCTCCGCTGCTTCTGGGATGAACAGGGGGGAGTAGGCTGGATATTTCGAGAGAGAGGAAGAGAGAGGAAACGAGTCACGACGCAGAGGCGCAGAGTTCCAAAAAACTAGAAAACTACGGGCGGCGTTGCCGCGCTCTTGCTGCTGCTGGATACTTTTTTTTGAACAAAGCAATGTCAAAACTTCAGAGTATCCTGCTTACCGTTAGCCGCGCGTAGTTTTCTACAGTAATGTCAAAACTTCAGAGTATTAAGTTAAAAACAGGAATATGACTCTGCACATCTATTATTTGTAAATATATGTATTCTAGCGACAGTAAGCTAATACTTTTTTTTGAACAAAGCAAGAGAATTGTGTGCCATTTCATTAAAAAGAAAAAGTACATAAAGAAGAGGGGGATGTTAAACCCTTCGGCCCCTTTTGGAAACTCAAATCTTCTTAGTATCCCTGACTTTTTTTAGGATGAAAAATACACGGGAAAATAATTTAAATAATTATTTAGTTTTTCATGAAAGGTTTTTCATCTCTATGGGTGCCTGTCCTTGCTTCCAAATTAGCCCTCCAAGTACATACAACCCCAACCAAGTAAGCTAATATTCAACTACATATTATAGTTATATTGGTGTCATGATACTTACTTTGTCTATTGTATCTCATAAGATGGAAAATGTAAAAACAACCGATCAATTATATACTGCATGTACGAACGGTTGTTTAGCACAACTTTATTACAATAATGAAATGTACAGGAAGGGATCAACGGCTTAGTTAATAGTAGTAGAAACAATATAAACATAGTATGTTCTATTTACACAATTACACTACAATAATACAAGTGTTTTCCATCTGACTACAAAGTATCCTGCTTTCCTCACAACAATATTGTTTGGTCTTAATATACTAAGTATAAAGAAAGAAAACATATAACTATCGCGTAGCACATGGTATCATTCGGTTCAGTTTATCGGAAAATTATTGTTAATATTAAGTACCTCATCTTTCTCCGCCTATGCTAATTACCCTCAATTGACACTCTTCAAGTATCTATATTTCTCTGAACGGCCACTGTTGTAGGATCTCTATCTAATTGAAAGAGAGGTATTTGATAATTAGGTGCTGTTTCCTCAAGTAGTGTTCTCATGGTGAGCTCGATGGTCTCCTTGCAGACCTCTTCTTGCTGTTCTTCTCGAGGAATTCAAGCATGGAGTTGGAGACATACCTCACACTACCACTAGCACACATATGTAAGAAAGGTCAGGGTCAGCTATATCTGCTACTAACATCATAGTTAAAGGGTCAAAGCATCATTTCAAAAGGTATTGATAACAATAAGAGCTGTCCTTACCTGTGTTTGTTTAAGCCTATCATCACAAATCAGCAGAAATTACCTTTCCATGGAGAACGAGGGAATAAAATTTGCCAGCATGGGTGCGACATCTGGATGCCTGTGAGCACTGGAGGTGGACCTGGCAGCATCATGGATTAGGTCGACGACCACAGACTAAGCCTGCACATCTGTTTCATGGTAAACATGAGATAAGCACGCCTCTGGTTGTTCCCAGCACCTGTGTCTCTGCAGTGGCCATGGCAAGGTTTATCAGGACAGCTCAAAAATCACAAAGTTGATTCAGCAAGATGTAAAACAAGATTAAAATTCACTTCTGATGGATTTCAATTGGAGTTAACCCTGGTGCTAGATTACCTCCGCTGATACATTACCATGAAAGTAACTTCATATAGTTCGTATAATATAAATATAAAAAAAAGTGATTTTGAACATAAAATTTTACCAAGCAGGGCACGTGGTGGGTCTCCCATCAGGAACTTTAAACTCATGAACTGAAAATAGATGTGTACCTCTATACATGATGATGATGAATATGCTTATTGAAAATGAAAAGCCACTTTAATCACATAGTAGTTTGGAAACTTGTAAACTGCTCGAACTCCACCAGTCCCAGACGCTATCATCAGTCCCAGGGGCTATATCAAAGCATAAGGTTGTCTGAATTCCAGCGCAACTGGCCGCCCCGGCGAGAGCATCTCTAAGCATAGTGAAGCAAGTAACTAGTGGCGCCGACCAACCTCGTTGCCGCCTCCATCTAGCGTTCATCCTTCACGCATCCATCTTGTGCGCTGGCATGCCGCAGCTGCAGCCCGTCTGCGCGGCCCGTCCGCGGCCCCGCTCTCTCGTACCGCCGTCGCCAGCGCGCCCATGCGCCGCCGCCCATCCGGCCGGTCCCGGCCCCGTCCCCGCGGAGGTTACACGATTCACGAGTGCCTGGGTCGTGGAGGCAAGAACTTTCCAAGCGGGTTGGCGAGGATTCGCGAGCGCTCTAGTCTCGAGTTTAACAGGGGGACGGAGCCCGACGGCCCGAGCTGCCGCCGCGCACGACCGCGCCTCGCCTGAGCCGCCCACGCCCCCGTGCGAGCCGCCGCCACACGCGCTGCCACCGTGCTGCCTGTGCCTCGCCGCCCTCCAAATCACCTAGCCACCTCTGCTGCATCCTCAGCCGCTGAGGAACAGAGAGGGTTATGGGAGGATAGGAGAGCAGCTGCAGCAGCGGCCAAGGTTGGGCTTCGCCCCGTCCCGTCGTACTCCTGGAGAAGCTAGCCCACGCGCAGCGCTGGCGCCTCCTCCTTTCGCGCCTGGCCGATGGTTGGTACTTGCGACGGCAAGAGGAAACGAGGAGGCGACGGCGAGCGCAGCGTCGTGACTCGCGAGAGAGGAGCGGAGCGGAGCAGAGGATTCGCGAAGGTTTAAGGATCAACGGCTCGATCGACGCTGGCACGTGAATCAGACGACTGATAAAAAACGTGGCCCGATGAAAACTCAGAGCTTGGCTCTGGTTTAGAGAGATAGAGAAAAAACGGGCGACGTGGCCCAACGAAAACTCAGAGCTTGGCTCTGGTTTAGAGAGAGAGAGAATAACTGGGTACGGGTTCATCCGGAGAGGAAGACAGGGGAAACGAGTCACGACTCATACACTAACCGGGCTGAACAAAGAAGCTGGCCCAAGGTGACAAGCCAGCCCACCACGACAAAGCATAGCACATAGAATCGACTGACGACGAAGAAAATAATCAGTCGAGTGATGATTAGAAATTCCGATGAAGTAATTGTTATGTCTCTTGCACTAGAAAACTACCCCTATATATATATTTTTTTCTTCAGCAGAACTACCCTATATATATAACCGTGGGCAGATTAGAAATTTGTTCGAGTTTCATGTTATGCCTTTGTTTTTAAATTCGGTAACTGGCCTCGCATCAGCTGTGCTCCGTTGACCACTCCTCCCTCAGGTGTTAAATATGTACGCATGGGCACGTTTCATGAATCTCTCTCATTTTCTTGCCGACACCAGTGATGCTCACGGAGATGTATATAATAATAATGCTAGCTAATAAGTAATAACGTTATTTTTCTTTCACAACGAGTGTTCTTGAGGGATGGTTTCTGCGGCCCAAGGATCCCACAAAGATGGGCCGGCACTGCAGCTCACGCTCGAGATGGGCCAGGTATCGTGTAATTATTATTTTTTATTTACAGTCAATTGGGGGGAGAATGTGTGATGGATTTTTCCCGTTAAACTCGGTTCCGATTCGTAGTCGATTCCTAGTCGGCTTGCTCGTAATTAACGGCTGCCGTCCTCAAATACCCACGGCGTTTCGCAAAGCTCGTACTGCCACGAGAAAACAAAAAGTAGTTTGCCGACCCACAACACAACCCCCGACATATGAAACCGAATCGGCGGCCAATCCAATGATGTCCTTAGCGTCGATGACGTCGTCGGCACTGACGCCGACGCCAAGCCCCGATGCCGGAACATCAGCAGCGGTGGCGGCGCTGAGTCCGTCGTCTGCCGGGACGACGCCGGCGCCGCGCCGCGAGACCATCTGGCGGCTGCGGGAGCGCGCGGACGCGCTGCGGCTGGAGCTGGACGCGGTGGTGGAGGGGACGGAGGAGGCGGCGGCCGAGCTCTACGCCTCGGCGAGGACCGACGAGACGCAGTGCGCCAAGCTGCGGGAGCTGGAGCAGGAGCTCAGGGACAAGGACGGGCGCATCAAGATGCTGGCGGCCATCGTCGACACCATCCTGACCAAGAGGAAGTGAGATCCACAAGACCTGCCCTGCCTTCTGCGTGCTTTCCGGGGCCATCCATGCGTGCATGTGTTCCCTTAATTGTTATGCCCTTCTATGTACACGTAACCCGATGCATGTTGTTTGCGTTATTGCTTTGTTAACTTTGGCGCATGGAGAAACACAGCGCCCTCTAAACAATTCATATGGGGAATTCGTAAAGCAACAGGAAAAATCAATGTATAGCACTGAGAGCACCATGTTTTTTTTGATAATATAATATAATGGAACTAAGTTCCGGCCTCTACTATCCGAGGATGCTACAGAGCTGAACCGATAATAACATGCACGTTCACAAGACAACACTACACATCTATTTCTCTCATTTTTATTATCTTTTTCTAACTTTTTTCAAGAGTGGCCAGATATGCATCCAGATGTGCAAGGGCAATTTGGTCACTTGCTATATTGAAAAAATTATAGCAAAAATAAAAAGGAAGAAATAGAGGTGGAATGATATTTTGTGAATGTGTTTCCTATTTGTGAATTCACCAATTATAGGTGTTTGTTCTAGCCCATTTTTTTGTAATGCCAAATTGATGTCTTACGTATATAAAAATAGAGAATTTTTTGGACTTGAAGAAAGAATAAAACAAATTCTATCGCTTTTTTTATTTTCAATTTATTTAGTATATTTCTCTCAATGAACTTTGGAAGCAACTTTTTACCTGATTTCTATCGTCCTCATAAGTAGTTAGGAAGGATCAGACACAATATGTTTTAAATCGGACTTCGTATTATGCTAGACAAAAACTATTCTAACTCATATAAGCACGGGTTATAACTACTTTCTTTAACCACCCAGGAATCACCGGCATCTGAGCACCTCCGGCTACCGTTCATTACATTGTTTACTTTTTCTTTTTTCTTTTTCTTTTTGGCTCCTCAGGCTTCCGCCGCTGCTTGTACTGTTCAACCTTTTCTTCCCCCTACTTTTCCTTCAACTTTGAGCCATCTACCTAGATATATAAGTCTGGATTCCATTGTCCGGTAGTTAGAGAGAGACAGACTTAAAAAATGGGATGGACAAAAATAATGACCTAAAATTTTATCTCTTTATTATATATATATATATATATATATATATATATATATATATATATATATATATATATATATATATATATATATGATAACTTTGAGACTCCAAACAAATTCATGAGGTCAACAATAACTCAAATGATATAGACCACGAAATATATAAAAGTGAACCATAGTGAGAAACATACTACGTGCCCCTATTATTATTACTCCAAACTCCAAATGAGTGCACTATTAAAAACACGAATTGTTCTGTGGGTGATGAAATTTTCTATTGGTTTTTACACACAGGACTATTCTAGTTCTAGTAGTGGTGCTATTTTCTGAATTTCACATGAGGTTGGTTGCCTCGTGAAACAACCACTCCTGTCTCACGTTCCTCTCCCACTATATAAAAGATCATCGATTGTGACCAATGATGTAGCACGCTGCACGTACTTGCAACTTGCCCAACTAATGCTGTTTTTGTTTCTATCTCGCCTAAACTAATGCTGTTGACGTAAGCCCACCCAATCAAACCATATCATACACTACTGGAGGCGCATAGCCCTCGGCAAAGGCCCAGAAACCCTCGGCAAAGGCTTTGCCGAGGGCTGCCCTCGGCAAAGATCCCTCGGGGATTTTTTAGACAGCGAAGGGGTCTTTGCCGAGGGCTCTTTATCGAGCACTGCAAAGCCTTTGCCTCGGACCCTCGGCAAAGAAAAGAAGCCGTCAGCGCCGGGGCGCCGTTAGCGGTTTTTTTTTGCCGAGGGCCGACCCTCGGCAAAGAAATGGTTTTTTTTTAATTTGATTGCCGAGGGCCGACCCTCGGCAAATAATTTTTTTTTATTTTTTTTAAAAAAACCTTTGCCGAGGGCCTCCTCCCTGACCCTCGGCAAAGAAATTTTCAGGATTTTTTTAAAATTCTTTGCCGAGGGCCGACCCTCGGCAAAGAAATGATTTTTTTGAATTTTTTTGAACCCTTTGCCGAGGGCCTGCTCCCTGGCCCTCGGCAAAGAAATTGTTAGGATTTTTTCCAAAAAAATCTTTGCCGAGGGCTATTGCTTGGGCCCTCGACATAGGACCCTTCTTTACCGAGGGCCTTGGTCATTGCCCTCAGCAAAGAGGCAGAAATTTAAATTTTTTTTGTTTTTTGCATTCCATCGACACAAGCATTTCATATATATACATATATATATCACACAGAACCTATTTTCTCACAATATATCACAACCATAATTGTGAACCACAAATCACAATATATTACAACGACAAGTCACATATTCATCATCATTCACATGTTTATTACGACAAGTTAATGAAATCCAAGCACAAGTCACAACCATAAATCACAAATCACGCTTAAAGTCCAACCACATCACCTAGCACGAGTCCTCATCAAGCTAGCCTATGAGGCGATGGTGAAGGAAGCAGGATCACCCCCGGTGGCGCACTAGCGGGTTGATTGGAACCCCATGGACGGAAGGCGCACAAAAAAGAGCAAGAGATTGCATGTGTGAGTAATCCGGAAAACAATTTTGGAACTTAGAGATTGCATCTAGTATTGTAGAATACAAAAGATTAGATTTAATTGAAAATTTTGGCAGCACCTCCATGCATGGGGGGAGATTTCAAAAAACCTACAAGAAATGATGGCACTAACGCCGACATCCACAACGGCATGAACGCCGACATCCACCTGGCACTGACGCCGACATACATGCAAAGCATGTTTAAAAGTGAACTTTCATACTTACGAGGAGTAGCTGCAGGAGTAGGAGGTGGAGGAGCTGAAAGCTGCAGGTACACCCAATGCTTGCCCAAGACTTTGCATGATCACCATCATCTCCGCCATCTGCTTCTCATGCGGCCTCGAGCGTGACCTTCGGGCTGCGGTTTGTGCGGTCGACTCCACGTTCGCTCTTGACTTTGCCTTTTTGTTTCTTGCAGCTCGGCACTGCAATATTTCACTCAATGTATCGATAATGCAAATCTAATTTAGGTGTGTAAATATCTACGTACGATGAGTAAAACAGGAATTACCTGGAGTGCTTGGACCTGCTGCAGTGC